AATGTAATTGGTTTTTGGAAAGTCTGGGTGTGCATACATATTATTTTAGTTATATATCATGCAGCACATCAGATAAATATTAACTATATATATTAAACCAGTTAATAGCATATACAGCTTGATGCTATTTTTTTTATTCAGTGTTTAAATCGTACAGTGCAATTTAGGATACTTTGAAACCCAAAATGAATGTGTTGATCAAATGGGTTTGTATTTGAAGGTTGACAAGATTTCCATTCTCTTTGTAATTCATGGAAAAAGGGCTGGAAGATTTCTTGATTAAATTTATGCCCTAAGAATTAATTGATGCATTCAGAAAATGATCAAACACTATGAAAAAAACGAATCATGAGCCTCGAAGAAAATTTAGAATTCTACAAAATCAAATATAGACATGTATGTGTAATATATTGTGGGGCATAACAAACTAATGAGTGAAGATGAAACGTTAAAGTCACGTTTGCTTACTAACATAAAATAAAATGGAATGGATTAAAAAATTAAGATAAAAATAAATTAAATCATCCTTTCCCTCATGTAAGCATAATAAAATTCATTAATATATATTATAAATATGGGAATTATCACATTCTTCAAAAATCTCATAAATCATGATTCTCAACCCCATAAACTAAATTATCCATCCTTCTTATGAATGCACTCACATATTTTTATCTTTATTTGTTTTAATCCATTCCATTCTATTTTATTATAGTAAGCAAAGGTGACCTAAAAAAATGTTGATATATAGATTACAATTAGAAACGGGTTGATTGTCATCTGTAAACAACATTTTTTTAGTTGAAGATATTGTGGCTTTTGTAACAGTAAATTGCGCAGAGATCAAACTTCTTAGTAGAGTAGTGATTATTTGAATAATAATATACATCAGATCACGTACCTTGACATTGTGGAAAGGACAAGACCACGGCTGGATGCAATGTCCAATGTTATGTGACAATTGTTGTGAAATGTATTTAAGAGGATTACGATAAACAATGAAAAATCAAAGCATACACTAAAATGACCAATATGGGTTAGAGGCTTCTAATGTTCTTTTCGATGCCCTAGCTTCTCAATTTTTTTTTCTTTAGATCATTGACTTTTACATAAAATAAGAGATACTTTCACATTTTGAAATTTTAAAATGATGAAGTTTTGTATTTTTTGTTACGATTTTTCAAAAATCAAAGGTGTAACTGTTATTTTTAAAAAAATTGTAAAAAATACAAAAATTCACCATTTCGAGACTTCAAAACATGAAAATATCTCTTATTTTATGTAGAAATCAATGTTCTAAAAAAAACAAAGCAAAATTTAAAGTTGAGGCATTACAAAAGACAATAGAGAAAAGCACATTGAAAGCCTTTAACCTGACCAGTATTTTCATTTTCAATCTATTGGGAAAAGTGGGCATATGAGCACTGGAAGAAAATTCAAATAAATAATAAACAACAACAACAAGCCTTTATCCCACTAGGTGGAGTCGGCTACATGGATTGCAAGACGTCATTGTGCTCTATCATTTATCAAGCTTTTAGGAATATTATTAATTAAGAGATCACGTTCAATAACTTCCAAAAGTGTTCTCTTAGGCCTTCCTCTACCTCTCTTAATCGGACTCAAAGTTATATGTTCCACTCTTCTTACTGGTGCCTCCTTTGGTCTTCTTTGTACATGCCCAAACCATCTCAATTGATTTTCTACCATTTTTTCCTCAATAGGTGCCACCCTCATTTTTTCGCGTACGTGCTCAGTTCGAATTTTATCTTTACGTGTATGTCCGCACATCCATCGTAACATTCTCATCTCTGCTACTCCAATTTTATGCTCTTGTTGTCCCGTTAGAGCCCAGCATTCACTACTATATAACATTGTCGGTCTGATAGCAGTGCGATAAAACTTTCCTTTAAGTTTATTAGGCACCTTACGGTCGCAAATAACTCCTTTAGCTTTTCTTCAATTAAACCATCCAGCTTGAATTCTATGTGAAATATCTCCACTAATTTCGCCATCATTTTGAATAATGGCTCCCAAATATCTAAACTTTTCCACTTGAGGTATAATTTGATCTCTCAATTTCACTTCCAAATTATTGTCAAATAGTCCTTTACCAAATTTACAATATAAATATTCCGTCTTACTTCTACTCAGACGAAAACCTTTCGACTCCAATGTCCTCCTCCATAACTTAAGTTTGCAATTAACCTCTTCTCTTGTCTCTGCTATAAGAACTATATCATCCGCGAAGAGCATACATTTCAGAATTTCCCCTTGAATATGTTCCGTCAAAACATTTAAGATCAAGTTGAACAAATAAGGACTCAGAGATTATCCCTGATGTAGTCCAACCTTTATAGGAAAATCTTTTGTTTGACCACTAGGCGTTCTTATACTAGTTTTTACCCCCTCATACATATCTTGTATGGCTTTAATATAAGCAATCCGTACTCTCTTTTTTTCTAACGCTTTTCAAAGCACTTCTCTTGGTATACGGTCATAAGCTTTTTCCAAATCAATAAAAACCATGTGTAGATCTTTATCTTTACAACGATACTTTTCCATTAATCCCCTTAGTAGATAAATCGCCTCTGTAGTTGATCTATCTAGCATAAAACCAAACTGATTCTCAGAAATACTTATCTCCAATCTCAACCTGTGCTCAATTACTTTCTCCCACAATTTCATTGTGTGGCTCATGAGTTTAATCCCTCTATAGTTAGTACAATTCTGAATATCTCCTTTATTTTATAAATAGGAATTAATGTACTTCTCCTCCACTCATCAGGCATTTTCTTGGACTGTAAAATCACATTAAATAACTTAGTTAACCATCTCACCCCTTGTTCACCTAAACATTTTCATGCTTTGATAGATATACAATCAGGTTCGTTGGCTCTACCATTTGTCATTTTCTTAAGAGCTTCCTTTACCTCCTTATCACGTATTATTGATATAATGACAAATTTTGTTCTCCTTCACCAGTTACTAAATCCTCCAAGTTACTAGATGAACTCTCTCCATCATTGAAAAGTTTAGAAAAGTAAGTCTTCCATCTATTTTTAATTTCATCATCTGAAACTAAAGTTCTTCCCTCTTCATCCTTAATACACCTTACCTGTTCTAGATCTCTTGATTTTCTTTCCCTACTCTTAGCAATCTTATAAATATTTCGCTCTCCTTCTTTCGTCTCAAGGCTCTTATAAAATTTTTCAAAAGTTTTAGAACGAGTTTCACCCACAGCTCTCTTAGTTTCCTTCTTAGCCATACGGTACATCTCCTAATTTTTCTCTTTGTTACACAAATGTATGGCTTGAAAATAGTTCTTCTTATACTTGATTTTGTCCTGTACACTATTATTCCACCACCAAGACTCCTTATCTCTCAGACCAGAACCTTTTGATTCTCCCAAAACTACTTTTGCAACCTCCCGTATCTTTTTAACCATATCCTCCCACATGATGTTAACATTTTCCTGAGATTCCCAAATTCCTTTATCCAAAAGATTTCGCTTGAAAATATCTTACTTCTCACCTTTTAACTGCCACCACCTAATTCTTGGTGCTACTACTTGTCGACATCTTTGGATTTTACTCATAATACACACATCAAGGACTAGGACCCTATGTTGTGTCGTTACAGCATCTCCGGGGATCACCTTGCAATTTTTACAAAGTCTTCTATCTGTGTTCCTAACCAAAAGAAAATCAATCTGTGACCTTGAGGCTCCACTTTTGTAAGTGATGAGATGCTCATCTCTCTTCTTGAAACAAGTTTTGGCAATCTTAAAATCATATGCCAATGAAAAATCAAGAAAAGTTTGTCCTTCATTGTTTAGCTCTCCAAAACCAAAACCACCATGCACCCTCGCATACTGACCAACTTCCCTCCCGACATGCCCATTAAAGTCTCCTCCAATAAAAATCTTTTCACTCTGTGGTATGTGTCGAATCAACCCCTTCAGATCCTCCTAAAATAATTCCTTAAGACTAGCTTCTGTCCTGACTTGCGGCGCATAAGCGCTAACAATATTAACAGTCTCACGTCCAATTATCATTTTTAAGGAAATAATTCTGTCTCCAATTCTGCTAACTTCTACAACGTTCTTCTTCCACTCCTTATCTATAATGATGCCTACTCCATTGCGTGCACTTACTTTTCCTGTATACCAAAGTTTGAAACCTTGAATATCCTTAGCTTCTTCTCCACGCCATTTTGCTTCTTGTAGGCAAAGGATATTGATTTTCCTTTGAATCATAACCCCTACAACCTCTACAGATTTACAATTCAATGTCCCAACATTCCAAGTACTAAATCTAATTTTGCTTTCATGGACTAACTTCTTTAGCCGCGTGCGTCCAGAATGACGCGGTAGCCCTTGCTCATTTAACACTACATCCGGGCGCCGATGCAGCGGCTCTAACTCACTTATCACTGTATTCGAGCCATGCAGCGCGTTACTTACGGGCAACGACCTAGCATTAACATTATAACGTCTATTGTCCATGTTCATGATAGATTCAACAAAGTTTTACATTGACTGTTGATGGCCTAACACAACCCTCCTCCTTTACCCGGGCTTGGAACCGGCTATAAATATAGGCGGAGTTCAAATAAATAATAAACAAATGTGAATATTTGATTATACAAAAATTTAATAATAATTTGTCATATGCAAGCTTTATCCCTTTAATATATTATATTTGGTGTGTGTACCTCAAAATATTTTTTTGTAAAAAAAAAAAAAAAGACAAACAGCTTGGGCTTTTTCAAGGAATAAAAATAATGTTCCATGTGGCCGATACCAAATATGTTGTCCTGGATTATCACGGTTGACGAGAATGCGTAAAGAAGTTGCCACTATTGACTGAGTCGCTTTACATATATGTATAATATTGCCGACAGACGAATAAACACCAAGAGCAGTTTCAAAGGCGTTTTGAAAATTTAATATTATTCTACCCATAAAATGACTTCATAGTTTCACAGTTTTGCCTTGTGAAAAACGCAAAGCAACTTCATTCTGCTATTATTGTTACTCCTTCTTCCTCCTTCTTCTCAACATCAGATCATCATCGCTATATACCTACTCGCTCCAGTCATCTTCCAAACCTGATGAGGTGAAACTTGAGTAAGCAACTTTCTCATTTTATTGACTTGTTCGTTTCAGACTTTCATTGTCATTATTCTCTGTCCCTGATATGGGTTTCTTCATTGCTTCTCTTTGCTTTGTTTGGAGAAATTGAATGCGAGAGTGATGGAGAAACCAGGAGCTGGTGGAAGGCCAAAGGCAGTTGACATATGGGAACACGTCATGGTGTTGGAAGGGAAAAAAGTGAGGTGTAAACATTGTGGATTTGAATTTGCAGCAAGTGCTAATCGCATCAAATCTCATATTCATCAAATCAAGGGTCAGGGAATTCGTCTGTGTACTGCTTTTCCTCAGCTTTGCGATACTGCTTCCAGAAAAGTCACCAACAATTTGAAAGGGAAAGAAGACCTCATTGATTCACAAGGTATGGAATAATATTATTTTAGTTTAAACAATGTATGATGGGAGATTGGTACTTAGTTATCTTGTTAGGGTATTATTAGTTTAAACAATGTATTTTAGATTGTGTCTATAAGCTTGTATATTCTAAATTGGCTGTATTTTTTAAGTCTGGCTGTCATTAAGAGGGATTAGGGCTAGGCTGGAAAGGCTTCACATTTCTTATTATTATACTTGAGCACATTTTGTTATTACTTTTTTTTTTGGGCCAAGAACATTTTATCTAACAGTCAAAAGGAATGTTGTCTTGAACCTCGTGCAGAGTTGTAAAGGCCAAGCTAGCTCTTAAGGACTTACAGTTTATAATATCTTAAATTGACAATATTTTCTCAAGTTCAATTCTCATTAACAAAGCTTAGAGTCAGACTGGAAAACCTGTATTTTTTTAATTTGAAATTTTAATTATTCTAACACAAAATTTAATAAATTGTTTTATTTTTATATGTCAATTTAAAAATTAAGATAAACCAAATAATTTCAGCCATGCTATTTTGAAATATCAACAATTTCACCCACATGTTCACTGAAAAAACAAAGAAAAATGCAGGGCCTAAACAGGGTTACTCAAAAGTCCTGGCTCATTTTTAATGGACTTACACTACAATAGTTTGGCGTAAAAGTCATTTTATGCTAAGATTACCCATTTTTAAAGGTTGGTTCTAAAAAATACGGGGCCCAATGGGTTGATGACTTGACTCATTCAAATTGTTTAGCCCATGTTAAATCTAATACTTCTGACTGTTAACAAATATTCTCACCACAAAACTATTATCAATTATGAGTGTCTATATATGTATATTTTTTTTTAAAAGGACGTCAGGTATAAATTTTATCGATAAATTCTCGTTTATAAATTTAGTTTTTAGAAGGAAAAAAAACAGAGAAAACCAGAAACTAGGACCAATACCTTATAGTACTAATTAGACTGTCTAAGAACCTATAGGCATATGAGACGCATAATATTAGTCTTGACAATAAAAAATAAATTGCAAAGATATAAAAAAAAAAAACAGAGAGACAACTTTTCCTTTTGTCCCCTTTCACCCTCTTTTGCCAATTTGTTTGTTGGTGTCATTTTGCACTCTCTTCACCTTGGCGAAGTTCTAACCTTCTCAATGAAAAACTTTACGTTGAGGAAGATATCACTAATTAAATCCAGTAATGTTTGAATCTAACCATATTATTAGATATTAGATGTTTATCAGAGAAAAAGAAATACTCAAGAAGGCCTTCAATTCTACAAAATTCTAAATATTGTTTGATTTTTAATACCAAACCGTCAAACATTTAAGAAATTAATTTATGTTTAATATATAGCATTTAGCCTCTTCACACTACCTTCAGGGAATTATTTTAAATTTAGTGAAGGGTTCGTTTATTGAAGTTTAAACTGATTTTAATTAAATTAAACATAATAGAATAAGATAAAATGTTACTCAGATTAACTTTTCAAAATAATCACTTTCACGAAAAAATGTTTTAAGCATATTTTTATAATTAAGTTACCTAGGTTTTGGACAAAAAAAAAAGTTACTTAGATTACCTTTTTAAAATAATTACTTTCTTAACAAATGCTAAATATTCATCAATCTTATAAAGATTTTAATTTGAGTTGAGTTAAACAACCATCGCTTATTGAACATGATCATTTCTTATAGCTTAAATAAACAGGCCTTAAATCTCCCCCCCCCCCCCAAAATAGTGATGGCTATATACAAGGATATTTCAACATCAAGCTTTCATTGATTGACATAATATGGGATCAGAAAGGTAGTATTTAAGCAATACTTTTTATTATTTGTAATATTTCTCTGCCTAAAGATCACAATATGTTTTTGTATAGTGGATTGTGATGATCAGTATATTAACTCTAAACAAGACATTAGTTTTTCATTTACTAGAGTGAGAAATGATTCATATGAACGAAGTGAGAGTTAATTTAATAGCCTAGTCACTATCAATTCAAAGCTTACAAATTTGAATTTCTGTTGTGATTTTTGAAACAAATTGACGTACAACGCATACAGATTTATCAACACTGGATAGGGCAAGAGATTATAACAAACCCAGTGAAACAATGATTGAGTGTCACATGTCCCCCAAAACAATGTGGGAAGGGATAAAGGCTCTCCAACAAACACAAATCCATCAAGAGAGGTTTCAAGTTGGCCCTTTCTCTGTTTCTCATATGGTGAATGAACGTGACTTGCAGTTGATACAATATGTTTTTGAACAATCATGGTTAGATTTATATGCATCCTTCGAGCTATATTTCTAAATAGTATTTATGTGTATTTGTTTTTTAAGCTTAAATCACTTGTCTTATATTTTATTCAGTGATGAGACAATTTTCTCCTCACCACCACGTTTATATTTGAATCAATATGAATTTACCACACTTAGACCGCAGACTTGTTTGGATTCTTTGGTGAGTATTTACTTATATTTTTATTCTATTTTTGTTTTAATTAAGCAAGGTCTTGGTGGTTATGTTAAAATGTAAATTTTTCTGTTTTCCTAGGTAATAGATGTTTTTGTTGATATCTTGACTGACACTGAAAGGAAGAAAAGTAAACTTCTGAATTGGTATCTTCCGGTGATGTTTTCGGTGATATCTTATTCCCTTTTTAATTGGATGATATATGTTTATTCTCAAGTTTAAAAAAAAATATTGACAAGTAAGTTTTTAATGGTTCTTTTGTTGTAGCATGTAGCATTCAATAGTGGTGATTTAAGTTTGTTCCTTGACTTTGTTGCACGACATAAAATGGAAGAGAACTACATGCCTGACTCCATATATTTTGAGAAGGTATTAAGTTATTGTCTTCTTTTAGTTGATCTTTTATTTACCATTATATATGATTTCTGTTTTTGACTATATGTGTGTGTGTATATATAATATATATCAATATGATTTGTTTGATCGCATATTACAGATGTTTATACCTGTCCATGTTGAAAAAAATTCACATGGACATTTTTATTTATACATTATTCATGTGAAGAATCAAGTTGTTGAAATATGGGATTCTCTTCGCGATCATTTTGTGGATGAAAGTGAACGTCAACAAAGAACAAATAAACTGGTAAGTGATAAATAACTGTAATATTCATTTAATTAATACATTGATATTGATATTTTAATTCTCTATATAGAATTAATCTCGTACATGTAGTTGCTTGCTATGGAGAAACTCTTCGGGGACGTTGCGTTCGCAAAATTTCACCAGAGAATGGCAAGCAATATCTCATTACAGCCTAATGATAATGGGTGAGTTTATAATTTTTTTATTCTAAATTATAAGCTTTATTAAAACAGGTGTGCATCCTGACCATATCATATTTCTTCATTATGTAGATATGATTGTGGTATATTTGTTATTAAATATATGCAACAATCAGATAATTATGTGAGCCAAAATCCTTCATTTCAGGTATGCATGCTTGCTTGCAAACTAGTTATTGTTAAATTCTCTATAAATATTCATTCACATATACCCATGCATATGACCATAGATGTGCAAACACTCTTAATCATATAAATGATATGGACAAAATGTGTAGTTTGACAGTAATAAAGAAAGATTGGATTTGGCTTTAGAGTTGCTCAAGAGTGACTTAAACCAAGAAAGAGAAATACTATATCATAAAGCAGCAGGAAGCCATTCACAAGTTCTAGGTGAAGAAGATATAGACTCATGTGGAATTAATAGAAAGCAGGTTGACAAATGCAAAACAATATTTGATGTTGGCAAAGGGGCATATATGGAATTGGATGATTCTAATGCTAGAGTCAAGAGAAAAAATGTCAGCTCGAAGACAGGTATATACTTCAACTTTTTTTTTTTTTAAACAGAAACTTCAACTTAAAGTGTATACAGCCTTTTTTGTAGTCATTTATGCAACAATTTAATTTATATATTTTTTCTAACTTCTCTTAAAGTAAGGAATAGCTATCCTTATATGGTTCTGGAGTATTATCATTTTATTTTTAAGAGATGGTGAAGAATATATAATGCAATATATTCAATTTGTTTTTATATTTTATCCTTGTCACTTCCTATATTTTAAAGAAATAATTTATATCGCCACTTCATGTTAATCGATTGTTCTATTTTTATTATAAGGATGTGTTAAAGGTTATGTATTGCCAACAACGGAGTTAGTGGGAGAGAAGTTTCAAAGTTATATCAAGCAACTATGGAAATGGATATCAGAAAAAGAGGTATCAACAATTGGGATATGGGGAATGAGAGGAGCAGGGAAAACAACTTTAGCAACTCATGTGAATAATATGCTTTTAGAAGAAGCCAGTGATACCTTTGACCATGTTATTTGGGTTACTGTATCACAAGATGATAGCATTTATGAGTTGCAAAAGGCCATTGCAAGATCAATTAATTTAGACATATCTGATGAGCATGATGTGAAAAGAATATCTGGGAAATTATTGCAAGCATCCAAACATATAAATAGATATGTGCTTATTTTAGACAATGTTTGGGATCCTATCTTCTTAGAAGAGGAGGTTGGATTTCCTATTTCGAATAATGGGATTAAATTGATCTTGACAACTCGTTCGCGGGAAGTGTGCCAAATAATGAACTGCATGAAGAGCATAATGCAAGTGGAACCATTAAATGAAGAAGATGGTTGGGAATTGTTTAAAGCAACTCTTGGAACCTATATAATACAATTTAGTAAAGTGGAGCCAATAGCAAGGACTGTGGCAAAACAATGTAAGGGTTTGCCCCTTGCAATCGTTAAGATAGCGAGAAGCATGAGGGGAAAAGAACACGAGAGAGAGTGGAGTCGTATGTTGGAATGCCTTCAAAACTTGGACGATGGGCAAAGTGATATGGACAAGTGGGTATTTTCGGTATTGAAATTGAGCTATGCTTGCCCAGATAATAAATTACAAAGATTTTTTTGGCACCCTGCAATAAGTAACAAAGAACATACTTGCGCTTCATGCAAATTGCTCAGACGCCGATGCGCCATAGACTGCATTTTCGCTCCCTATTTCCCTTCCGACGATCCCCAAAGGTTCGCCATCGTTCACATGGTTTTTGGAGCTAGCAACGTCAGGAAAATGTTACAGGTTCCTCACCACTTCCCCTGTTCTGTTTTGCTTGCTCGCAGAAACACCACACCACCTTTAGCTGTTCTTTCAAGGTTTCACCGTACTTATCTTGTACAAACACGGGACAAGACATGATGAAATTTATAATAATTACAGCATTGAAAAAGTAGAAAACCTTACTTTTCAAGTACATATTTGGTCTCATTTTGCATCTTTTATAATGAATGATTCAGGAACTTCCGGTGCACCAGAGAACCGAAGCAGTGAGCAGTCTAGTGTATGAAGCTAGTGCGAGAGTGAGAGACCCTGTTTATGGTTGTGTTGGGGCCATATCGTACCTGCAAAACCAGGTCTCGGCGCTTCAAATGCAGCTTGCGGTGGCTCAAGCAGAGATACTCTGCATCCAGATGCAGAATGATCCGATGATGCTGACAAACCCAGAAATTGATGGCCCCCCATCACCCCAAGTCCTTCTTTCTCCAAAATGACCTCCCTCAGTATCTCAATTTAACTTCTTCTTGCAATGTACTTCATCGTGATCACTCTCTCAAGAGAGATAGCATCTTTGGACACGACATGTTTCTTGAATAAGAGTTTCTCACATGCTTTAGGTTTCATGGCCTTTTTTGTTCCATCGTATCCACGATTTTTTTCTGCATATATAACATGAAGGACGAGAAGTTGTCTGCACTACGATTATTTTAGTGCTACGGAGAGAAGCTGGGAGTAATATAGGGTATAGCATGTGATTATAAGTGCTAATGAGGTAATTTAGAGGGTTCTGAATCAGTAAACCTTTAAGCTAATGATCAAAGGTGCTTGTAAATCAATGCATTGAGACGAGGGTCGGTTGGAGTTTGGAAAAAAAAATATATATATATATATATATATTATTTTGTACTTATTAGTTGCATGGTACAAAAAAATTAAAACAGGAAAAATTCTTCGCTGAGATTAGTTGACAGCACTCACAAACTCTCGAGGGTGGAAATCTTTCCTAGCTCTGGCGGTATTGTACCTGTTAGCCGGTTTATGAATGTGAATTGGAGTTTCAAAAATACATACAGTTCTTGAAGGCAAGGCAACCTCGCCAGTTTTGGCGGGAGCGTCCTGTGGAGATTTTATTCTTTCAGTGAACTACACGTTCATTCAATCATGCAAACGAAGATTGTCAACTAATGATGAACTCTATTTCCTTCCAATACACTGCTATTTCAGTCTACATGAACGAGAAAGATAATTTTCGAACAATAACAATTTTTTAATATCCGCATGCGCTGGCAAATACTAACAATTTCGAATAATGGTGATAGACTAATAGTGATGACGCAAAAGAGAGATAATTTTCTATATATTCTACAAAACTGGTACAATGACAGGAAACCAATAAATACATGCTGCTCATCGCAGGGTTTCAAAAAATTGTGGCATCTCGCACCGTGTAGAGTTGGTTACTTCGCAATACACCTTATTAATTAGGGATTTAATTACGTAGGTTTTCTAAATAAGACATCTTATTTAAATCAGAAGATTTTTCAGTGCGGGATGGACAGATATGACAGAGCATGGAAATGCAGTGTACTGAAGGTTGCACGATGTTGGATAAATTAAAGAATAACATTTTGTTGGTGTGGGGAGGAGTGATGCGCCTTTTGTTTAGGGTCATGGCAAAATCTAATATGAATTTGACAGAAATACCGGAAAATGGCGTGTGGCATGAAAGTTTGCAGAAAGTTTTCTTGGGTGGAAACCAAATACAGAAAATTGTGGATAGCACATCTTCAAATTGCTCTAAACTTTCCGCATTGCTTTTAGATTGTAATTATGATCTCAAATGGATCTTAGATGATTTTCTCAACAGCATCCTTGCTCTTACCGTACTAGATTTGTCTCATACTGCCATTGAGCTAGCGTTTGCCCAAATCGGTCTCTAACTTGGAATGCCTCATCAAATTATTGCTTTCAAATTGCTTGGTATTGAATTACGCATCCGTCATTAAAAAAATTGTGGCGGTTAATATCATTGGACCTCTCGTATACCATCATGACTGAAGCACCTTGTGGTTTGAAAAAGGTGGAAGCTATTTCAACCAACTTTTGTGACATTGAAGAGTTTAATGACTATAAGTTATGAGTTTCCAAGACAAAGACCATGTACTTAAAAGTTATATATTGTCTAACGAGTTTAGCTACGTTATCGGGTGTGATTGAACTTGCTATTGATGATGAGATTGCATTGCATGAGTATTTATTAAAAAAGGTTGTTTTTGGTGGAATTGTTGTATTGATTTGGGAAACAGAGTGGTGCTTCCAGGAACCTCACTGAGTCGGTTGATTGTAAGTGAGTGTCATCAATTTGAAGACTCTAAACCAATATGGATACCATTTACTCTATCCTTGCATAGATGCACCCCATTTTCTCACCTTATGTCCCTTGATATTAAGAAATGCAGCAGCATGAGGATTCCGATGATGTGGGAATTATTTGTACAGCTCCAATACCTAGAGACCATTTCTGTAGGATCTTGTCAATTGGTGAAAGATATAGTTAGACAAGATTCTAGCGATGACATTATTCCCCTTGCCACCGTCACCTTTCCCAAACTGAGATCTGTGCCATCGCGTTGGCTACCGGAATTAAATTCCGTATTCTGGGGAACCACGCTCTATCCTTCTCTCAAAGATTTTAGTGCGTTCTATTGTGAGAAACTAAGCCATCCATTTTAGTGCCTTCTCTCAAAGATTTCTTTTTTCGTCCTCTATTATTTTCAGGTTGAATCATTCCTTTTAACTTCCATTTAATTTTTATATATTCTCATTAGCAGGCCTCAACTGGATGAGCATTGATGTGATAAAGCAGGTCCACTTCTCCTCCCAAAAGTCAACTTTAATTTCTTTTATTACAGAGTTCAAATACCATTTTTGCTTACCATCCATTCTCGTTGGAGTCCCATAGTTCCAAGCTGCATTTCAAGTTTATATGGATATCATTTTATCACAATGAAAATATACATCTCCTGGTGTTGGAGTTCATGAATCAACTTTATTTTGCTTCAGAATTTCATACCTAGTGCTCATTTGTTTACTAAATGTACTAACTAATATCATGATGAGTCCCTTGTTAATTGAAAAAAGAGAGGCAAAAAATGACAAATTTAATATATTTTCTTAATATAATTTTACGTGATATAGTGCTTCCGTGCTTAATATGGTGGGACAATTTTAGTGGCCACATATATATCAATGATTTTGATAATTGCGTTGAAAAATTGATATTTGAATTTTGATGTCTCACAGCAATTCACGCATGTGATAGAACATGTACATATTTAGAACAAGTGCCAGAAAGACTTTTACAAGTTGTTGTAGCTAAACTCGAGACTAAATGCATTTTCAAGATATATATTCCCGCTCTCCCCAAACTGACATCTGTGTGTGTCTCCTCCAAAACTTGACTTCCTTTAATTATATGGATATCATTTATTTGCAGAGTACACATATGAACTTTACTAATGTTTCTGTTTGTCTTATTTTTCTTTATTTGAATTTTAAATATTTGTCATTAATTTATTTCAAACATTAAATTTGTGTTTACAATTGCTCTGTTTTTGCCTTTACTTCACTCTATCGTTTGGATTTTTAGTCTAGCACTTCATTTTACAGATGTCCAAACTTGAATGCTGTTCAATTTTGCAGTAACTGCCAATAAAAAAAAAAAGTCATGCCTTTTTCAACTTCAATTTAATCGATCTTTTGAAAGTTTGAGAGTGCATACATATTATTTTGGTTATATCAAGCACAACTTCTGATAACTGTTAACTGTACCAAGCCAATTTGAAGCATATATAGCTTGATGTTAATTTATTCTTTAGAGTTCAAGTGTGTATTTAGTTTTTAGTTTGTCAAAAGTTCATTTGTTATAAGTTTATTTTGCAAAAGTTAATTCAGTAAAAGTTAGTTGTTATAATGAAATTTATAATTAGATATATTTTTTCAAAAGTTATTTTAATAAACTGAAAATTGTTTGGATTATATATATAGTGAAATATGTTTTTAAATGTATAATTATAAAAAAATATTAATTTATGATGATTTATAATTTTTGTTATACAAATGTAATATATTAGAAATATTTAAAAAAATGTGATAAAAATTTTAAATAACATAAAATTTGTTATATTAAATAATAATAACATATATAAAGTTTGATATGTTGCAAAAATTATATAATAAATAGTTCAACATATATTAATATTGAAAGTTAACATGATTAGTTGTTCAATTTAAAATGTATAATTTAGTCTCTAATTAAATCGTAAAATCTATTTATCTTTCTATCAGAAACCACACTTGAAATATTAATAGCAAAATGAAAATAATTGTACAAAAATAATCCCAAGAGTAAAAAGTATAAAGAATTTTTTTGCGACAAAAGTATAAAGAAAGATTAAAAGTAAAAGAGTCATTAAAAATTTTGGAGTAACATGATCATATCACAAATCAAAGGGATAACATTTCAAAAGCACAATGCAAAACCTTCTCCCCATAACTTTCACCAAATTAACATTTAACAACATTCAAAAGTACTTTTAAAAAATTAGTTTAGAGTAAAATTTGATATCCAAACAATATATCACTTTCAAAAAGTGATAAAGCATTTTGTGAAAGTGGAATACGGGATACCCAAACAGTCATGCCATGCAATTTTGGGCTTTTTAAAACCCAAAATGCATGTTACAAAATCAAATGAGTATGTGTTTGAAAGCTTGGCAATATTTTCAATTTGTTCTCTTTGAAGTTTCTGGAAAGAGGGCTACTGAACATTTCCTTGATTAAATTTATACCGAGAATGCATTGATGCATTAGAAAATGAGGTGGATATGTTATATACTCCTATGGTCATATTTATAGAATAGAAAAAGAAGATTATTTTTTGTCCTATTTATATAATACTTCATTATGTTCATATTTACTTTTTTGTCCTTATTAAATGCTACAAAAAATTATTAAAATATAATTTTCTTTGTCCTTATTAAGGGTAGATATGAAAATTTATTAAATTTTAAGACAGAGCTAATAAGATTTAAAGTTTTCTTTTATTCCGTGTATCAAAAGAAAAATTATTGATTCTAATGAAACATTTGAAAGTAAATTATAAATAGAACTGAAACTATTATATATATATATATATATGCTTCTATGCTTTCCAAACTCATCTTCCAAAGGATAATGTTGGGTTGAATTTGAATATAAATTTTTCATTCTTGGATTGCATTGAATTTATAATTGGCTGAGAAGATATTTTAATAGGAAATTCCTCTTAATATTAAATTTTGTACATAGTAGCATGAAAAATTTAGTATATAATTGAGTTGTGAATCCCAGAAGACCCATTATAAATGTTTTTGTTCTAGTATACACAAACCAAAAAATGTATGATATATAGTTGAAAAATTTTGAAGGTTGATTGTGAATATTTTGCAAGTAATAAGTTCAGAATCTGTTAGTGATTCCACTCTTGGTCAACTGCCTCTTGCTAATTTTAATAGGAAATTTGTTGCATTAAGCAAGTTTGAACCAATATTTTGTTTTGAAATATAATCAGTTGAAGGTTCTT